AGCCCTCTCCATAGCTCGCTGAGCGACCTTGAGCTTCCGCATACGGCCAGCAGTGAAGGACCACGTCTCAGATCCGTAAGTCATCACTGGCAACACGCACTGGTTGTACCATTTCGTTTTAAGGTTTTGAGGTATGTCTGACGAGAAGATGTGTCGTAGCTTCCCGAACGCTGCCCAGCTGAGTTGAATCCGTCGATTGACCTCTTGGTTGAAGTTGGACTTACCTAGTCGGACTATTTGTCCCCGGTAAACATACTCGTCAACAACTTCGAGCTTAGTGCTCCCAACAACTACCGGCATAGGTATGACATGGACATTAAACATAATCTTTGTTTTGTCCATGTTCATCTTAAGACCTATCCGTTGGGAGACACTATTGAGGTCATTGAGCATAGTGCTTAGGTCCTCCAGCGATTCTGCCATAAGGACTATATCGTCGGCAAATCGAAGGTGAGTGATGTATTCGTCATTGATGTTAATACCGTATCCTTTCCAGTCCAGAAGCTTGAAAACGTCTTCCAATGCAGCCGGGAAGAGTTTCGGGGATATAACGTCACCATGTCTTACACCTCTCTGCAATTGGATAGGTTTCGTACTCTAGTTCTGTACTCGGATAGCCATCGTAGCTCTACTGTACAAGCACTTCAGCACTTCGATATACCGACAGTCAACTTGGCACCGCAGATGGGACTGCAGCACCGCCCAAATTTCGACGGAATCAAAGGCTTTCTCATAGTCCACATACGCCAGGCATAGTGGCAAATTGTACTCCTCGGACTTCTGTACAACTTGCCGAAGGGTATGTATGTGGTCTATGGTGCTAAAGCCCTTTCGGAAACCGGCTTGTTCGGGAGGCTGGAAGTCGTCAAGTCTGCGTGCGGGACGATTCGTAATGACTCTCGAAAACAGCACGTAGACGCGGCTCAGAAGGGAAATCGGTCTGTAGTTCTTCAAGAGAGCACTACATATATTATGTTGCAATTGAGTTTTATTGAAATCGGTTGTACAAATTTTTTAATTTTACCACTTGTCCAGTAATAATATTAGTCCGTTAGAAGAAGTTGTTCGTATCACTGTTACTGTGGAATTCCGTTGATTCCAAGGAAAATGCTAAAATTTTCGAGATACAAAGATTTGATTAGTAAAATTTCTATAAGTGGTATAACCATGCTATGCTATGCTATATTAGTAGTACAGTTGTAGCACGAGTGGTTCGGCTCGACCGGGGAATGACTACGCTCTCACAGAAATTTAAACGATGAACCAGATTATATGTATAGGTAAACTAGCTTTTCACCCACGAATTCGCCAGCGTTAGTTAGCCATAAAATATAATTTAAACTACTATGCTTCTATTTATTTGTCAGTGACTCCGAGATAGACAAATAATTACCAGACAGTAATGTGCAAGGACGATGTAGGTACTTCAGTTGGTGAAGGAATCGAATCTGACAAAGAGAATCAAAAAGAATGCCATAATAATAAGTCATGTAAATATATATATATATATATATATATATACTAGCTCAACAGGCAGACGTTGTTCTGCCCTTTCCAACGAACCGTTCTATAAAAATCCTTAAATACGCAATAAAATTTTTTGATAAAAACTATCCTATCTCTCAAGTTGGGAAATCAGTTCAGTAGTTTAGGAGTCCATCGCGGACAAACAACGTGACACGTAAATTTTATATATATATATATATATATATATATATATATATATATATATATATATATATATATATATAATACATCACCGTCTCCGACTGTCGAGCTAATTATTGAACCAGTTAGTCAAGATTGAGTCAGATAAGTAGTACGGGCGAAAAATTGTAGAAATAAATCATTTAGCAAATAAAAAAAATATTTCGATTGCAATTTCATTAAACTAACATTTTGCAAAGAATCAAGATTAGAAAACATAATCTAAAATTTTGGGAGTGTGGACTGTTTATTGATTCCTAAGATTATTATTTAGGGACAACTCCCGATGGGCTTATTGGACATGATTCTCTAAATGAAAATGTCTTATTTCTGATTCTAATATGCTACATTTGGAGGCCATAACTAAACACAGATCAAATTTTGTTTGATACGAGAAGGACGAAAAGAAAAAAGAAACCATGATTACTATTATCAGGTCTAGGGAGGCAATTTTGTTTTTTCGTAGTATGGACACAACTTTTTCATGTTTTCGTACTTAAATTAATAAACCATGTAGTTCGGGGTAGGAAAAAAATAAATACTAAGATCACTTTTGGGCAGCAAAAATGCAGCCAAGACTTTACTTATTTCATTTTTAATGTTTATTATATGTACCAGAAATGATTGACCCTCGAGTTCCTAGAGAAATGGTAGTTCGAGAAAGAGTGTAATTAAGTAATATGTAATAATAAACAATAATAATTTCTTCAAGTTGTTACTTTTTATTTATTTGCCTACCTACTTTATTGTAAACTCGAAATATTTTTAATTTAAAATCCTTATTCAATAAACACTAAATTAATAATTAAATAATCGATAAACACTGAATAATCACAGACATTAAGTTTCTCATGAGAGGTATTATCTTTCTAGGCTATCGATATTATTTTCTCCTTCCTAGGCGATAATAATATTGATAACACTTCTAAAAGTTACAGTCTATATACACGTCTCACTGCTGGGTACAGGCCTCCTCTCATTTCTGAGAGGGTTTTAGGGCAAGGAAAGGTCCGCCGCGCTGCCACAATGCGTGTTGGCGAACTTCACATGTCTTCGAAATATATGTTTTTTTCTTATTTGTCAGACATGCAGGTTTCCTCACGATGTTTTCCTTCACCGCTGAGCACGTGGTAAATCAGCACTTAAAATTGCAATTAACAATTTCATTTGTGCCGGCGGGGATCGAACCCGGGTTTCTCGCGTACCTACTGTGAAACTTATAGCGAGCGCTAACCATCTGAGCTACCACAGCTCCAACCTCCAACACCCCTAACATCATGCACACATACAATATGCCCCTGCCCCCCGACCCGTATCGTGCAATAGAGAGAGTTGCAAGTCTTGAAGACAATTGCCAACATTTACTTTTTGAAATATTGTTTCCGGCGATAACGTTTTTACCCCCCTAAAACTTTACAAAATAAGACAATTTTGGTCATATTAGATTCAGTACACTTTAATCTAGGCTTGTACGTTTTACTTTTTTAGTAATCTGTTTAATTTAATTTAAAAAAAAACGCTCGAGGAAGTTTTTAAGTAAAAAATATAGATATTTAGATGCTAATAACTTATATTGTATACAATATTTCTTTAAAATAAAAACGTACGGGCCTAGTTTTTTGTCATATCTACAACATTTCCAAAAATTATTAAAATTGGACTATATTTACGGGGGGGATAACGTTATCGCTTTTTGTATGAAAATTTATAGCTTCACAATCCTGTTAATTTTTATTAAAAATCATTTTGCTTTCATTTTGATCAACTTTAAAATAAAGTATATAAATCGAGGTCGCACATGCAGACAGTTTTCACCTGCTGCGAAAGTAAGGTAAAGTATAAGCCACGTCGGATGCGATAAGTTAGCTAACAACGGGGAAGAAGTATTAAATTCTTTAAGCAATAGAATGGCTGCAAAGTTTAAGAGGAAGAATAGAGTTAGTGTGAGATTTGTTTTTATAGATAAAGTAACAAACGAGCACACGGTGCACTTGATGGTAAGTGGATGCTAAGGCCCATATACATCGACAATAAGAATCAAAATGCAAAATACATTGTCACTCCTGAGGACTAAGATGGAATGCCTCGTTTCCAGCATAGGGGTCTTCGGTTCTCTACATCTAAACTCATCAAACAAAACACAGTAGCATTATTCTTTTATTACTATTTCATTATTAATACAGTCTATTTATTTGCCCTGCTAAACATGGGCCTCCCCATAGATCTCTGGGCAGGGTCTCCCCAGTGCCAGCACCTTCCACTTGACCGCATCCAGCGCAGAGCGGCTCGAATCGTCGACGACCGAGTCCTTTCAGATCGGATCGATTCATTGGCACTGCGAAGAGATGTTGCATCTCTTTGCATTTTCTTTCGTATTTACCAATGCTCTGAGGAATTGTTCGGATTAATCCCAGCCGTCAAACCATCCACACCATCTGGATGATTGGCGTTCCACAACTGTGCGATTTAGAAGATGTTTTCTTCCTCGCACAACTTCCTTGTGGAATCGATTACCATCAACGTTTTTTCCGGACCGATACAACTTAGGGACCTTCAAGAAAAGAGCCTACTCCTTTTCAAAAGGCCGGCAACGCATCTGCGATTCCCCTGGTTCCCCTGGTGTTGCAGTTGTTCATGGGCGGCGGTAGTCACTTACCATAAGGTGAGCCGCATGCCCGTTTGCCCCTCTCATATAAAAAAAAAATTGCCTCATGAGAATAGCACAGAATAGAATAATTTTTATCCAATATAGATTACACGTAATACTTATTGAAAGTAATTTTTTACTTTTACCTTTGGTTCGGAAAAAACTTCTGTTCCGGGAAGAACCGCAACCTAGCGGGTTAGCAAACGCAATTTATTATTCGTAGTTGTAATTAGGAAGCCGCTGCTTCCCATCTCCTGGTTTGTTTCTCTTTGTCGCCTTTTCGACACCCACGGGAAGATAGTGGATATTTGTTGGCGACGTGCTCAAAAATCGTTATACAAATTTGTATTAGCTTAAGGTGGCGGGTATGACGGCCCAATCATCTCATATGTTTTAAATATTATATTAAATTTTAAGGTAGAAATCGAACGGTGACGCAGTCAGTCAGCCTTTACTATCGCTCGCGACACACGTACCTTCGCTCTCTCTCATTTGTTTTGTTCGTGTACCTACGTTGTGTAATTTAAAATAAACGGTTTTAACGAATTTTTGGTTTTCGAGTTTTCCTACCATTTTATCGCGCCAGTGCACCCTTTACAAAGTGGTCTTCGAACCGGATCCAATGTTCAGCACGCCGCCTGCAAAAATGGTAAAAACTCGAAGCACTACACGCAAGGAGCTCGAGAGCAAAGAGGACGAAAATCAGGAAGTCCAGTTACAAGTGCAGCCTCAGCCAACTGATGGAAATACACAGAAGGATAAACAGACACCGACCGCTAGCCAACTATATGATGTTGCGGGTAGCAGCGTCAAGCGCGAGTACCGCTTGCAACAGCCGCCCGCTTCGCGCACCGGGGCTAAGTCAACGTCCACCTCGTCCTCTCTGATGGCCAGGAGAAAGAAACTGGAACTAGAGATGGCTAAAGAAAAGGCTAAAATTCAAATGGATCTCATCGATAAGCAGTTTCAGGCGGATTTAGCAGACCTTATGGATGAAAAAGAGGAAATATACAGTCCACATAGTGACCCGCACGACGACACCAAGAATAAGAAAGTGGAGCAATGGTTAGAACAAAGCCAGCTCGAGCACGAACCCCCGTTGCACGCTCCAGAGTTCGGTGATCAGCCGGGCAAGCAGTGTCCGCCGGCGGCACCCGTTGCCGGCCCATGTGACGGAACGGTTCATATGCTCGCGAGCGCACTACAGAATCTATCCTCGATCTCTGCAAATAATGGGACAAACAACAACCTGCTTAGTCGCATGTGTACCCCCCGGGACCTACCTAGTTACTCAGGGGACTCGCTGGAATGGCTCCAGTTCAAGCAGGCTTATGACGAGTCTACCGAAGTGTGCGGGTTTAGCCCGAAGGAAAATTTATGGCGTTTAAGGAAGTGTCTTCACGGGCCAGCTAAGGAAGCAGTCTCAGCTCTCATGATAAGCGGTACATCACCCGACGTAGTGATAAAAACTTTAGAGCTACTATACGGTAACGCAGACACCATTCTAAGCAAAATTACCCAGGGCCTGAAGAAACTACCACCTATGTCGAACGAATACAACAAAGACATTGTGTCGTTCTCAGTTAAAGTTCAAAATTTCATCGCAGCTGTGCACGCCGTCGGCCGAGAAGAGTACATGCAAGGAATGCATATTTCAAATATTATTTTATCCAAGATGCCTACCGTACTAATATCAAAATGGTCCGATTATAGTTTTGCTATAATAAAGGAAGGAAAGAAATCACGTTTGAATATATTAGGCGATTTTTAAATCAAGAAGCTGTGAAAATTTCGACTACAGCGAACATACACGCCACAGAGGCTCGCAGCGTCGGATTTCAGCAGCACTACAAGAGTAAACCTTACAGCAACATCACCAGTCGTCCTCATGCAGTATTAGTGCAATCAACGCACAGTGACATTAAGTGTTTATTTTGCAACGTCGCAAAACATAAATTAACTGAGTGCAAAATGTTTAAAAAAGCGTTGCGCAAAGACAGGTGGCGTCACGTTAAACGCCACGGCGTATGTTACAAGTGCTTAGTGTCGCGCCACGATCGAGAAACGTGTCCCGCGGCCGTCTGCGACAAGGACGGCTGCGGCGAGGCACACCACCGGCTGCTGCACTACGTGCGCGACGCCGGCCGGGAGCCGCGCGACGCCAGCCGGGAGCCGCGCCCTGCCCCGCCCGGCGCGGGCGACACCGGCGACGCGGCCCACAGCGGCCACACTTCCGGAGCCGCAGCTGCTACCGTGACACACATTAACTCTGCTCACAACGTGTTATTGAAAGTAGTACCTATAAACATACACGGACCTAATGGTGTAATCAGCACGACTGCATTGCTCGACGACGGATCAACAATAACATTGATAACCGGTTCCCTCGCTGCGCGGGCCGGCCTGCGCGGCCGCACTGAGACTATGCGCGTGAGCGGAGCGTGGAGCGGTAGCGATGTTATTGTTGATTCTACTGTTTTGTCTATAAATGTGTCTGATAAAAATAATTGTAATATGTCTACCATTAATGCACGAAGCGTAAACAATTTAAAATTGCCTGAGCAAAATCTTTATTCAATCGATTGTAGTCAGTATGCTCATTTGAAAAATTTGAAACATGATTTAATATTTTGTAATAATAATATTAAACCTGAAGTACTAATCGGCCTGGATAATCATCATTTGTTAGCTCCTATTGAAATGTGTATCGGTAAACGTAATGAGCCGTCCGCTACTCGCACCACCCTAGGCTGGTCCTTACATGGAATAGCGCGCGCACCGCCACACGGCACCCGCGCCTCGCACCCGAGCCCTCTACTGTGCTGCAGCGCGGGGCCCGCCGCGCCCGCCGCCGGTGATGCCGAGGACTTGCTTCGCGAACTTCATGACGAGGTAAGGCGCTCATTCATGCTCGATTCCCTAGGTGTGTGTAGCAAACCCCGTGAGAACAGCGAAGACGTGCGCGCGCGCGCTCAGGTGGAGCGCTCGGCAACGCTCGTGGCGGGCCGCTGGCACGTCGGGCTTCCGTGGCGCGATGAAGGCTGCGTGTTGCCCGATAGCTACGCTAACGCTTGCAACAGGTTCAAAGGAGTAGAAAAAAAGATGGTGGCGAACCCTGACTACGCCAAACGTTACTCTGAACGAGTGGATCACCTTTTACTTAATGATTACGCTAAAGAGTCGACTGATATTCGGCGCACACCGCGAACGTGGTATTTACCACACTTTGGGGTCGATAATCCTAATAAAAAAAAGTTGCGTTTCGTTTTCGATGCAGCAGCGAAAAGTCACGGAAAATGTTTAAATGATTACCTATTGCAAGGTCCCGACTTACTCGCGTCCCTATTCGGCATTATGGTACGTTTTAGAGAGAATAGGGTCGCTGTAGCCGGGGACATTAAAGATATGTTCCTGAGAATTAAAATAAGGGACGAGGATCAAAATTCCCTTAGATTTTTGTGGAGACCTCGCCCCGAACAATCGGTCAAAACTTTTAACATGACTTCGCTCATATTCGGTGCTAATTGTTCCCCATTTATAGCACAGTACGTGAAAAACAGGAACGCGGAACGTTTCGTTTCGTCGCTGCCCGCTGCTGCCGACGCTATCTGCAACCAGCACTACATGGACGACTATCTGGACAGTTTCCCGGACGAAGCCACCGCGACGCAGATGGTAAGAGATATTGTTTACATTCACAAAGAGGGCGGCTTCGAAATATGCAATTGGAATAGTAACAGTGTAGTAGTGTTGGACAGCATACCAAAAGAGACCTTAGGTACAGTGGCGGTAAGTCTCAAAATGGGTCAGCAGTGTGAAGGAGAACGAACGCTCGGTCTTATTTGGTTTCCCGCTAAAGACGAGCTGGGGTTTGATTTATCCTTCAAGCGCATTCCAGAGTACGTAGTGAACGGAGCACAAGTGCCTACTAAAAGGGTTATGCTGCGAGTAATTATGTCTATTTACGATATTTTTGGTTTCTTGTCGCCGTTCACAATACAAGGTAAAATAATGCTTCAAAATCTTTGGCGATCAAACATTGGCTGGGACGACGAGATTCCCAATAGCATTTTTAATAAATGGAAAACCTGGATCGATTTGCTAAAGGAAATGAGTAATGTACGCATTCCTAGGTGCTACCTAAGCCCTCTAGGTGCGAGCGAGACAGGTGATCGCATGGCAACGGACACAGCTGATATTGTAGCAGGTCAGTGCTCCCCCGCGCCCCGCGGCCCGCCTACGACGGCGCAGCCCGCTACGGCCTCTACGCGACTGACCGGGAGCTACGAAACCGCGCGAGCTACGAGTGCTACGAAGTACAATAACACACAGCTGCATGTTTTTTGCGATGCATCTACTAAAGCGATGTGCGCTGTAGCTTATTGGCGGTGGACGTGCAATGGTAATGTGTTTGTTGCATTTATAGCAAGTAAATGTCGAGTTGCGCCGGTAAAACCACTGACTGTGCCGCGACTAGAGTTGCAAGCAGCGCTTCTAGCGGCGAGACTCGCCGACACCATTGTTAAGGAGCATAAGTTGAGCGTGTTACAGCGATTATTTTGGAGTGACTCGACCACGGTTTTGCACTGGATTAATAATGACGCGAGAAATTATAAAACATTTGTAGCAAACCGGTTGGGCGAGATTGATGAGGTCACTAGTAGTAAAGAATGGCGATACGTGCCTACTGAATTAAATGTTGCGGATATAGCTACACGCGAAACCTACGACGACGCCATTTTTAAGAGTGTATGGTTGGGGGGGCCCTACGTTTCTGCGTGATGATGAGTCATCGTGGCCGCGTCACGTCATTCGTCCTGTCACTGATGTTGAGACAACTGAATGTGTTAACCTAATAACAAATGTGGTTACTACGGACATCCCTAGTGTCGAGCCTACTCCCGATCCGGAACGGTTTTCTTCGTGGCTGCGGTTGCTCAAAAGTACAGCCGCTGTTCTTAGATTTATATTGCGAATTAATGGAACAGGCTAAACGTTTGCTGTTCCGGCGGGTACAGAGCGAGGCCTTCGGCACGGAAGTGAGCGCAATTAGAGAAGGTAAATCTTTGCCCCGCAACAGTCGTATTCTCAACTTGTCACCTTATTTGGACGAGCACGGCGTCCTTCGTTGCGGCGGACGCATTGGTGCGGCACTTGATGTCTCTTCCGAGACAAAAAACCCGAGTATCCTCGACGGGCGACATCGAGTGACGCGATTGTTGGTAAGACATTTCCACATAAAAGCTGCTCACGGAAACCAGGAGACAGTGGTAAATAACCTAAAGCAAAGGTACTGGGTCATTAAAATAAGACCCACTGTTAAACATGTAGCTGCCGGATGTATGATCTGCAGAATAAGGAAGGCGAAACCGGAAATGCCAGTGATGGGCGATTTACCTCCCGCTAGAGTGGCGCATCACCAGCGAGCTTTCACACACTGCGGTGTGGACCTATTTGGACCGATGGAGGTGGTGGTAGGGAGGAGAAGGGAAAAACGGTACGGTGTCATATTTACATGCCTTACAGTTAGGGCTATACACCTGGAGATCGTGCATTCCCTCACTACTGACTCACTAATTATGGCCCTCCGGCGTATGGCTGCCCGCCGAGGGTGGCCACGCTGCCTTTACTCCGATAACGGAACTAACCTACGTGGCGCTGATGCGGAGCTACTGAAGTCGATCCAGGAACTTGACGACGAGACCCTGAAGAACGAGGCTGCTAACAATGGGACGCAATGGTCTTTTATCCCACCGGCAAGCCCCCATTGGGGAGGGGCGTGGGAGCGTTTAATACGTAGCGTTAAGGTATCTCTAGGGGCTATACTCAAAGAGCGTGTCCCCAAAGATGAAGTTCTCGCCACCTTTATGACTGAGGTCGAGAATATAGTCAACAGCCGCCCCCTTACTCACGTGTCTGTAGAACCTGGTAGCAACGAGTCGTTGACGCCAAACCATTTTCTCCTGGGTAAGAGCTCCAACTTACCTGCTGCAGGTGTCTTCGATGACTCTGACTTGTACCTACGAAAACAGTGGCGAAAAAGTCAACGCTTAGCTGATATGTATTGGCGCAGATGGGTAACAGAGTACCTACCGGAGCTGATACCTAGAAGGAAGTGGAATGAGGAGCGCGAACCGCTAGAGGTAGGTGATCTCGTGCTGGTCGTGGACCCTGGAGCGCCACGCAACGTGTGGCAGAGGGCGATCGTGGAACAGGTGTTTCCAGGCAAGGACGGCCGGGTCAGGTTGGTTGAAAGCAGAACCAAATCAGGGACGCTGAGACGTTCAGCGGCGCGCGTCGCTAGAATTCCTTTGTCTGAGTAGTGCTGAGCCAGCACTGGGGTGGGGTGTGTTAGCGACGTGCTCAAAAATCGTTATACAAATTTGTATTAGCTTAAGGTGGCGGGTATGACGGCCCAATCATCTCATCATTCATCATCATTACAGCCCTTCACAAGTCCACTGCTGAACATAGGCCTCCCCCAAAGAATGCCACAAAACACGGTCCTGAGCCACCTGCATCCATCGACTTCCTGCATGTCTTACCAGGTCGTCACTCCATCTCGTGGGGGGACGCCCTACACTTCGCCTGCCGGTACGAGGCTGCCACTCGAGAACCTTTCTTCCCCATCGGTTGTCGGTTCTTCGAGCTATATGGCCGGCCCACTGCCACTTCAGCTTACTAATCCGTTGGGCTATGTCGGTCACTCTGGTTCTACTGCGGATATCCTCATTCCTAAGTTTATCACGCAGAGAAACTCCGAGCATAGCCCTCTCCATAGCTCGCTGAGCGACCTTGAGCTTCCTCATACGGCCAGCAGTGAAGGACCACGTCTCAGTTCCGTAAGTCATCACTGGCAACACGCACTGGTTGTACAATTTCGTTTTAAGGTTTTGAGGTATGTCTGACGAGAAGATGTGTCGTAGCTTCCCGAACGCTGCCCAGCAGAGTTGAATCCGTCGATTGACCTCTCGGTCGAAGTTGGACTTACCCAGTCGGACTATTTGTCCCAGGTAAACATACTCGTCAACAACTTCGAGCTTAGTGTTCCCAACAACTACCGGCATAGGTGTGACATGGACATTAAACATGATCTTAGTTTTGTCCATGTTCATCTTAAGACCTATCCGTTGGGAAACACTATTGAGGTCATTGAGCATAGTGCTTAGGTCCTCCAGCGATTCTGCCATAAGGACTATATCGTCGGCAAATCGAAGGTGAGTGATGTACTCGCCATTGATGTTGATACCGTATCCTTTCCAGTCCAGAAGCTTGAAAACGTCTTCCAATGCAGCGGTGAATAGTTTCGGGGATATGACGTCACCCTGTCTTACACCTCTCTGCAATTGGATAGGTTTCGTACTCTGGTTCTGTACTCGGATAGCCATCGTAGCCCTACTGTACAAGCACTTCAACACTTCGATATACCGACAGTCAACTTGGCACCGCTGAAGGGACTGCAGCACCGCCCAAATTTCGACGGAATCAAAGGCTTTCTCATAGTCCACATACGCCAGACATAGTGGCAAATTGTACTCTTCGGACTTCTGTACAACTTGCCGAAGGGTATGTATGTGGTCTATGGTGCTAAAGCCCTTTCGGAAACCGGCTTGTTCGGGAGGCTGGAAGTCGTCAAGTCTGCGCGCGAGACGATTCGTAATGACTCTCGAAAACAGCACGTAGACGCGGCTCAGAAGGGAAATCGGTCTGTAGTTCTTCAAGAGAGCGTTGTCACCTTTCTTGAAGAACAAGACCACCGCACTTCTGCTCCACGCCTCCGGTGTAATGCCACCATGGAGGACGGAATTAAAGAGCTTCTGAAGGACTTCAAGTACCGGTCTTCCACCCGCTTTCAGAAGCTCCGCTGTAATTCCATCCTCGCCTGGGGCCTTACCGTTTTTAAGGTGCTGGAGAGCCATCCTAATCTCGCTCAGATGGACATCCGGGATATCTTCGGAATAGTGTCGGATGAGACTCGCTCTTGGATCGTTACTCACACTTGCGTGTGGCTCCAACGATGATGTGTACAGCTGCCCATAGAACCTCTCAATCTCACTCAAAATCTCAGGTGTCCCGGAAACGATGCTGCCACACTCTGTCTTCAGCTTTGACAGTTGGCTCTTTCTGGCAGACAGATCTCTGGCAAAGACTTTGGAGCCTTGGTTCCGCTCGATCGCTTCTTCAATACGAGCTGTATTGAAGTTGCGTAAGTCCCGCCGCGTGCATTTGGAGATCTGTCTGTTCAGATGCCTGTATGCTGTCAAGTGTGTTGAAGAATGTAGCTTCATCTCCCGTCTAACAGCCATGAGATTAAGAGTGTGATCGGAGAGTTTTTGTGTTCTTCTGCGGCGGGTTTTGCAGAACTTAGCTCCAACCGCATGGACAGTTTCCACGAGCTTGTCATTCATATCGTCCACTTCATTGCAGTCTTCCAGGCACTGAAAACGGTTTTGTAACTCGAGCTGAAAGGTTTCGGGACTTTGGAACAGAGCACGAGGGGGACGGAGCGTTGACTTCATTAGACGAGACCTCTCCAACTTAACGTTTAGGTTCAGTGTGCCTCTAACCATTCGGTGATCGCTACCAGTTTTCACCCTCGCGATCACGGAGACATCACTGAACAGTTGTCGTCTGGTCGTCATAATGAAGTCAATCTCATTTTTTGTGGAACCGTCGGGGCTCGACCAGGTCCACTTCCTGTGGGGCCGCTTCTGGAAGAAAGAGTTCATCATAAAGAGTCCCTCTTTCTCCATGAAGTCGGCCAGCTGCTGGCCCCTTGGGTTCCGTTGCCCTATTCCAAATTTCCCTACTTTCAGCTCACCGTTCTCTCTTGTGCCTAGTTTTGCATTGAAGTCTCCCATTAACACCGTATATTGGGTTTTGTTGGAATGCATGGCTCTAGAGATATCCTCATACATTTCCTCCACCTCCTCATCGGGGTGTGCCGAGGTTGGTGCGTAAACCTGTATGACCTTCAGCGAATACCGTTTGGTGATTCTGAGTATAAGGTACGCAACCCTCGTCGACACACTCCCGATCTTTACAACGTTGTTAACGAGAGACTTGTGGACGATAAATCCGACACCTCCTTGGGACAGATGGTCGCCCTCCCGGTGATAGAGCAAGTTGCCGGATTCGAGGATTACCGTGTCCTCCCCCTCTCTTCGGACTTCGGATAATCCTATAATATGCCAGCGCAACTTGTCTATCTCTTCTTCCAGCTCCACGATCTTCTCGTCAGTCCTCAGGGTGCGTGCGTTGTACGTTGCCAGGTCGAGTCGTCTAAGGTGGCAACCGAACCTCCACCGGAGATTCTTAGCACCCCCTGCCCCGCCGTTACCATGGTCGCCACCGTAGCCAGGAATAGCGGGGCCGCCGGGGACTGGGGGCCGTTTTTTTGTTGCTCTCATCATTGGGGGGTATTTGCCATAGTTGCCACGCTTGGCGAGCGGGTTGGCAACCGCAGTTTTTTTATTGTAATTTGGCTATTATCAGGAAGATGCTGCTGCCCATCTCCTGGCTGTTTCCCTTTGTCGCCTTTTACGACACCCACGGGAGGATATGGGGTAGTGGATATTCTTGACCGCCACTACACGGCATCAACCAATCATCTCATATGTTTTAAATATTATATTAAATTTTAAGGTAGAAATCGAACGGTGACGCAGTCAGTCAGCCTTTACTATCGCTCGCGACACACGTACCTTCGCTCTCTCTCATTTGTTTTGTTCGTGTACCTACGTTGTGTAATTTAAAATAAACGGTTTTAACGAATTTTTGGT